TGAAATATTTTCAGTTTTCAATAGTGCTTGCGAGCTATGTGACTATCTTTGAACTTGCCGCCATCGGTTCTTCGAGTGCGCAAGAACTGACGTGTGCTTGACAGAAGCAGCTGATCGGAGCATCATACAATTTAATATATTCATTCCTTTATTTCTTCGCTGTTAGGTTAATATCTCGCTAATTGATAAAGTAATGTTGGGAAAAATTAAAACGAAGCTGGAGAAAAGCGGCGGTAAGTAAGAAAATTATTTTATATTACAAACATAACTGCGATAAATGCGAAAAAATTGAGAAATAATGTAGAAACTTTTTGAGAGGTTATGTTGTTTATTTATTTGCTGTTTAGACATAAAAAACATTTAAATTATCAATCATTCTTAGTTTATTTAATTAATCTCAAAATAACAATTATTTCATCTCTCACGATGAATTATAAATTGTTTGGTTTTTCTTCCAAAAAAGTTTTTTTGTTGTTCTCTTTTTATCACTGAATAAAATATTAGCTAAAACCCGTTTTAAATATGATTGCATGTTACAGAGATCATCGCATATAGCGAGACGGCAGTTGCAAACAATGCTGCGGTCGTAGAATATTGTAAGATTTCAATGGCAGCTTTATCGGGCGGTACAGCTGGTTTGCTGGGATTGACTGGCTTGTACGGATTCGGATTTTATGTCTTCGCAGTTTTTGGACTATGGGTAAGAGCATCGTGATAGCGTTACAAAATCCAATATATAATATCCAATACAAATTATCTCCGTAGGCAATGCTGTTGATGAAAGCTGGAGGCCAATGGAGAAAATATTTCATCAGCAGGCGACATCTCTTAACCAGCGGATTCTTTGGAGGGCTTTGCGTATCCTTTGAAATGATTTTTAAAAAATGATTTTTATTTTCAGAGACTGATCTATTTTTTCCTTAACAGCTTCCTTAAAAACTTCTTGCAGACATATGTATTGTTTTGGACGTATCCTTTTTCATTGCAAATAATATAAGTAATATGTTTCTATGGATGTATAGTATGCCACAAATATGTATGAATTTCTTAATTGTTAATTGTTAATCAGATTTTTATATGGAATGGTTCACGTCTATTGAGCAGGCGAATTTGCAGCGATTGTGACATTACGCAATTATTTAAATACATAATGTTGCATTATTAACTTAAGTCAATCATTGTATTTATATTATTTAAGCTTTTCGGATACTGACCAAATAAACAGCGAAACGTTCACGTGATGTACAAGTATATCGATATGTATATAGAATACACTTTTCATTAAAATGATCGCGCCATTTATTATCCAGTATTTGAATGTCAAAGTAGACAATATAAGAACCAATGCAATAAAGATATTAGGAGCCACATTTTTTATTGGATGTCTGATATATATATTTGCATAATAAATTATTAATTATTGAATTATAATTATTTGATGAAGATTACTGGTAATCATATACATATATCTATACATGCAACGCCTGTGAACACATTCGTAAATAGTTATATAATTAATAGTTAATCACTATTATTTTTAATTATTTTTAATCACTGTTATTAAAATTATACGTTTAAATTCATGACAATATTTTTTCTTAATATTATCGATGAATGTCTGTAAACGCTCCAATATTTTTTTTCGTATTAGATGCGATTTCTAATATAATTTACTACATTTTTTATTTTACTGTACATAATTATTTTTGTGTACATTCTTGGATATTTTAAAGTAGATGAATATTCACGCACTAAGAAAAAAAATAAGAAATCGATACACAACTTCCATTAGTTTGTACTTAACATGCTCACATTTTCTACTTCAATGTTTTTAACGCCTTTATCCATTACTACTAACATTTACTACAAAAACGGAATATTTATATCACTAAATAAAATCCCAATTGTAGCTATCACTTGTTTAATTGTAATTATAACTTACTTTGACGTATATTGAATTTAATTCACGGAGAAAATTCGATTTCGGCAGTGAAAATCAATCGCATGACACGAATATATTTAACACAGGGAGCAGTAAACGTGTCTACTGACAAATAATGTTACAATTTCATTCAAATCTGATAAAGATTTAAATTTTTGTCTCGGAAGTTTGCTCATGTGTCCCTATCTCTTCTCGACAGACTTCAGCAATCTCGAGAGGTCTTCCGGTTTCCAAACCTTCTAATCTCCTTTCCTCGTCCATTTTATCCAATTCCGCTTTGCTTAAGTGATAAACTATCCCAGCCCCGTAACCATCACCAAGAACATTGATCGAGGTTCTGATCCGATCCCTTAAAACAAAGCCAATACTTTAATTTCATAGAAGTTCTGTAACAAATCTATAAAACTTACAGCATCCAGTCGATGGCGAATAATAAGGAAACATCGTTCGTAGGGAGACCCAAGGCAGTCAACACTAGCAGCATGGTGACCAGCGCTGCACTGGGGATACTTGCGGCTCCGACGCTCGCCAAAGTAGCTGTGAGGCTGTAAAAAAGTGAATCTTAGAGAACTCTAATTCTTTTTAGTTCTTTAATTAGACATATCAAAATCCTTTTCCTCAATTATAGCTTAAATAGTTCGTGAAATAATTAATAATTAAGAAACAACAAATATTTTATTTATAAAATGCGGATACCTGACAGTAATGACTTCAACGAATCCCAGTGAGATTCCATTTAATTGTGCGATGAAGATTGCAGCTACAGCTTCATAAAGAGCTGTGCCGTCCATATTTACAGTCGCACCGACTGCCACAACGAAACGTGTCACACGAGGATCAATCTTGTTGTTTTCTTCCAGACAACGAAAAGTTAAAGGCAAAGTCGCCGCGCTATAAATTATATTACTACCATTACTTTAGAAAATTATTTAACCATAAAAAAAATTGAATTTTGTAATTGGGTAGAACTAGTTCTAAGAATATAGATTGATGGTGCCATGATTTTGTAATTAACTTTGAGATAAATCTTTAAACTAATCTTTAAAACTTTTACGCACACATAATTACCTCGAAGCGGTTCCTAATGCTGTCACCCAGGCTTGCATCATGCCTCTAAAAAAGACTGCTGGATTCTTTCGAGTTATAAACCAATAGATCAATGGCAATGTGATAATCGCATGGATCATTAAACCTAATACAACTGTCACCATGTATAAACCTAACATCTGAGCAGTTGCCGCCAAATTTGTGATTGACATGATTTTTCCAGCTATCAGACACATAATTCCGAATGGAGAATACCTGTAGCAATTGTCAATTGCATTGCCATAAAAGAAATAATAAAAAAAGTTTTGCTTGCTTTAAATCTCGATTGATTTATCAAATTAACAATATTTACAAAAATAAATATATATATAATTAATTATTAATGTGTAATATGTACAATTAATTATTTTGCAGCTCTATGTACGATGCACACATAAATCATGATGTTATTTCGTACCAGACGACGACAATCGTGACGAGCTTCATAATGATCTCGTTCAACACTACAAAGAAGTCCACCATCAACTTGCCACGTGGTCCTATCTGGCCCGCGAGCACGCCAAAGATGATGCAAAATACAATCATGCCCATCACGTTCGTGCCATCTTTATAAACTAAAGTCGGCTCCACGATGTACTCGCTTTGATTCGCGCTGCCGATCACGACCACCTTCTTCTTCACGTAGGAAGTCTGAACCTGTTGGAAGCACGCTTGCACCAGATTCTCCGGTAGCATATTTCTGAGAATGAAAGATTACAACAAATTTCTAACGTACAATTATAGCTGTAAAACCATCGAGCTATTTTATGATAATATTTTCATACCGAATTATGTCGAGAATCGCATCTATAGTAGAAACTTTTGTTTCTTCAGCCTTCACCACCGCCGCAACAGCAGTTTTAATTTGCGGATTACCTGGATGGATCATCAGTACCATCGCGATGCCCACTATAGCAGCGAGAATGGTTGTTATCGAGTAGTATGTTAACGCTCTGAATCCTATTCTTCCTGATCTTTGAACATCCAACTGTGCCATTCCTAAAGTAAGTAAGTAAGTAGTCATTTGTATCTCAATAGATGAGAGAAGATAGAAACGAATTAGAAAATAATTTCAAGCGTCTAATATTTTCACTACATTAATATTTTCGAAACTCAAAATTCTTCGTTCTTAATATTCACGTACTTGAATTTTGCATTTTCCTCTCTTTTTCTTTATTTGTTATCTGCTCAAAATTAAGCGGATTATCAATAAGTTATAATTACCAGAGATTAATGACGAGATGATGAGTGGCAGGATAAACATCTTCAGCATCCGCATAAGAAGCTCTCCCGGAAAGCTGACGAGGGTTATAGATTGCGGCGAGAAATTGGCCAATCGACCCAGAAACCCGAAAACCAGACCCAACAAAACCCCAGTGATGGTCAGTGCCAAAAGCAAATTACTTCCCATCCATTCTATCACCTGCATATTCCATGCGCGATAAAATTTAATAAACTTGTAACGCATTGCGTGATATTTTTTCTTAGAATCAATGAAATTTCACGAAATTAATTGTAAACTGATCTTGGTAAGGTTCAATTTAATCTCTTTGATCGTTTTTATCGAAGATAATTGAAGAATCAAATTGAATGTGATATTGAAAAGAA